CTGTGGTCTTTTCTATTTTGCAGTCGGTAACCACGTCAAGAAATTTGGTTCAAATTTTTAATCGAGGATTCAGCTTTCTGTCTGAATCATACTTAAAATGTTTATCTGTTTGCGACACAATGTATTGACTGTAGGTTAATGCGTGTTCTTATGAGTCTGGGTTCACAAAGATTTTACAATTATTGGGAATGCGTTCTTATAATAAGTATTAAATAATGCCAAAATGGAGCATTTTCAATGCCTCACTGCTCCTTAAAGAGCATGGGCACCCCCCTTTTTAATTTTAAAATTGAAGTTATCATATGACAAATAATGTGGACAAAGTTTGAACAAAAATCTATCGTCACTTTTATTTCAAAGGAATTACCTTAAATGAGCGATAAATGATATTTTTTCACAAAAGAACGTAAGAATTTCGAATGCTGTTTTTTATAGTTTTTTCCTATGTACAACGTTTAACTGAATTTTAACTGGAACGTCTCGGTAAAAGTGATCATCTGTTAAAATGTCCACCAGTTTATTAAGGCGGGGGTACACCTGAAAATTCTGGAAAAGATCGAAGTTTTGTTTTTGCCAGAATTTGAATCTTAAGGTGTTAAAGTTTTATTTTGAGAAACATTTTTGTTACTGTAAGATCAAAGCTCGTTTTCTCAAAACGAGTTATTTTTGCCTTTGAGAAAAGATATTTTGAGAAGGATTTGTCCAATTGAGCTGAAATTTTTAGATTTGTTGTTCTCAGTAGGTTTTGTGTTTTAAGCATAGACCTTTTCCATACAGTGCATTTTGTCGAAGTTATGCATTGAAACGTATGCTGGTCTATGCCGGATTTTCTGTATCAGATTTGACTGGTCGCTATTTCATGTGCTTTTAACTTTTCAAAAATTTCTCTTTTTAAAACAGTAAGCTATTTATCTTCTTTTAAAAAATACAAAAATTATTCATTTTAATCAATTCTTGTGGGAGTTATCTTTTTTTCAAGTAAGCCCTAACATTCTTCAGCAGTTGTCAGGTTTAATCAACCGGTGTCAGGTTACAATACAGTTCTAGGGTACAAAATATATTTTTTAATAATCTTTGGTCTTTAACTTTTCTAGAAACGTATACCTTGCCACGGTTTGGAATTAAATCTTAGCCATGGAAAAAGTTTGAAAAAATGGTGTGTTTTCAGGTGTACCCCGCCTTAGGTAAAAAAATGTTAATTTTCCCCTTGAATTTTTCATAGACATTTTACTGGGAAAGAAAAATTAAGGCCTTAAAACACTTGGTTTAGAAGCAAAATTGTCATTGCTTATTGTTTGTTATTTGTTGGCGATTATTTCTGCTGCTTTATGGTGGATTGGTTCGTTCTCGCATTTTTCGAACATTACTGATTCGCCTTTTGCACCTGACCTGCCAGTGACCCAAGCTTGAGCCCGCTCGCTAGCTAATCCTTCCACAAATTTTAAGCAGAGTTGCCATTCATATTACAGAGAAGTATACTTTTTCTAACTCTTATCTCTCCCAGAAAATGTTAGTTAAGCCTGCGTACGAGCCAAGTGGCCCATCAGACAAGAGCTTATCCCAGTTTCTGTAGCATGAAGCGACTAGGAGTATTTCTACTCCCCCTGGGTGGGATGCTAGTCCATCGCAGGGTTACCCCCAGCAATAAGTTTGCCGGTACACATTTATACACCTGTGTGGAGAGAAGCACTGTGGGAGTAAAGTGTCTTGCCCAAGAACACAACACAGGGCTCGAACCCGGACCGCTGGATCTGGAGTCGAGCGCACTAACCATGAGGCCACCGCGCCTCCCATACCCAGACAATGAGCATGGTTCAAAATGGAAGTCATGATTTATTAATAATTTAACTTTAATACCAGGCTATGAAAAATGGTCCTTTGAGTACGAGACCGTAGTTTTGCAAATTATGAACTATGAATGACGCCCTCCCATATGAAAAGGTCGGGGATGCCCGTCGAAAATTTGAAATTAAAACGCTAAAGGAGATTAATCTGGGCGTGGCACGAGCTTTATTTGAACCCTAAAAGATACCACTGAAAACTGAATAGGCTTGATTATCAGCCATTGTTCACGAAAGGAACCCGTGCTAGTACACCGGGCTCGAGAGATCGGCGGAAAACGGGCCTAAAAACTGAAATAAGAGCGTTTATTTTATTATTATTATTATTATTATTATTATTATTATTTCTTCGAGTGCGCTCTAAAAGATACTTTGACGGCTAAAAATAGCGGTGTTTCGTCACGAACACCCTAAGTGAGAGCAGAATCCGTGATTTATACCACTAAGCAAGACGACGAACAGCCCAAACTTTTCAAACGGGAGTTCCCCTACCCTCACCGGGAATGACGTCAAAGTCTGCGCAATTTGGACGATGAGTTAAGGGAAGCTAATCTAGATCGACTCGTCCCCTTCCATACAGCTCACGGGTCGGCTATGAGTTCATTTTCGAATCCTGTCCCCGCTTTGTTGCAGGAGGCATCCTCATTCACTGCATCAGCCATTGCGTCGTCACTTTGATGATCTGATTCTCGTGCCAAGCAAACAAGAAGAAATGGAATGAGTGATCCTAAAATTCCAACTCCACCAGCCATGAGAAACGCGACATTGCAGTTACCGAATCTGTCAGCGATTAACCCTAGAAAAAACAACAAGAAATGTGGCATGAAAATGCTAGGTTTTTTTTCTGAGAATGCTAAAAAAATAGTGTGCCAGTCAGGTAATCAGTAAATCAGTCAGTCATTCCGTCATTCAGTCTGTCAATCAACCAAGCAGTCATTCAGTTAGTCAGTGAGTCAGTCTGTCTGTCTGAGGGTCAGTCGGTCGGTCGGTCAGTCAGTCAGTCAGTCAGTCAGTCAGTCTTTCTATCTATCTGTCTGTCTGTCTGCCTGTCAGTCAGTCATTCAGGCAGTCATTCTGTCTGTCATCATGTCGTTCTGTCAGTCTGTTTGTGAGAATGTCTGTCTGTCTGTCTGTCTCTCTGTTATCGTGACTGTCTGTCTGCCTGTCATCATGTCTGTTTGTCAGTGTCTCGGAATGTATAACTGTCTGTTTGTATCTTTAATTATTTTCCAAAATTTACAAAAGGTTACGAGTCAGAATGATATAAGCATTCTAGTAAACCAACCATGTGTTACATGTAAATAACAGCCTCACCTTTTCAGAGTTTTTTCGATCAGGTAATTGTAATAACAGGAACATTATGTAAGCTGATGCCTAAAATAACTCATCGAAGCTAATATGCACATACCAAAATCATATGTTGTGTGTTACCGATTCTTCAACTATGAATTTTGAAGCATTCTCCCAATCAATCTTTTGTCAAGGATATTCAAAGAGTGCAAAATAAACATTTACGTCCCCGATAACGGTGGACTGCTCCATGAAAAAATCCCCGAAAACATCATTTGTAATCCAATAATTTCTCCTTTCTTTCTTTCACGGCTTTCAAGCATTCGATGATGAAAGTAGTAAACATCAAGCCGTCTGTAGAACTGAAGGTAACAGCGTAAGCGACTAAATCAATGTACGATTTTGCCAGGGTCAGTAACATCGTGGAGGCACCCATGATGAAGTTCGCAGTTTAAAGGAGGAAGCGTATGTTAACGTATTTCAAATCGCTTAAAAAGCCTTCCCCAAGACGACCTAGCGAGGCGAGTGTTCATTGCGTCTGGCGATGATGTCCCTTGGTGAAGAAGACAACGTTAACCAGTCAGAGATGCAAGGATTAATAGTCCAGCAAAGATACGGAACGTGTTCCTCCAGTCAAGAGCATCCACTAACGCTTGGAGAGTGGGACCAAGAATCATCGTCCTCAATCCTTGTCCTGTAGTTACAATCTCAAGAGCCACGGATTTTCTTTCATCGAAGTGGGCATTGGTAATAATCGCTGATGAAACGAGAATCAAAGATTCGCCCAAAGCAAAAGGAAAACTAAAAGAAATGTAGGTGATGATGATAAATGGAGCAAAGGAACCCAAAGCGAGGCCGACGGAACACGACAAGCATTCTAACGTGGTAGCAATTCGAAACCCAAATCTGTTGACGAAGGCACCCATGGCAGGACCAAGAAACAAGTTAACGCCAATTACAATGGAGGTCACCCATGCTGCTAGAACAATAGGAACGTTTGTTGTTATTTTCACCGACATAATGCGTTGAGAGGAGGCGGGGGTAAGGAAACCCCGAGGAAATGGGGAGTGATGGGAACTCTACAGGGTTAATGGCTGATAAGTTCGTTAACTACATTGCTGCGTTTCTCATGGCTGGTGGAGTTGGAATTATAGGATCTCTCATTCCATTTCTTCTTCTTTGCTTGGCACGAGAATCAGATGATCAAATTGACAAGGCAATGGCTGATACAGTGAATAAGGATGCCTCCTGCAGCAGAGCTAGCGCAGGATTCGAAAATGAACTGATAGTACCCGTGAGCTGTAATGAAGACGACGAGTCGATCATAAATCATCTTTAAAGTTACGCAGACATATATAATTGTCTTTCATAGTTCATAATTTGCAAAACTACGGTCTCGTTTCCAAAGTAAGGAACTCTGTAAATGCCTGATATTTAGGTCTAGTTGATTAATTGATCATGACATTCATTTATATTCCATGCATATTGTCCGGATGTAATAAGATAAAGAAAAAGTATACTTCTCTGTAATATGAATAAAAAACTCTGCTTAAAATGTACGGGATGACAGTTTGTAATTGTGGAAAGATTGACCGGTCTCAAGTTTGGGTCTTTGACAGGCCAGGGGCGAACGGCGAATCTGTAAAGCGCGGAAAATGCGACAATGCACCACTCAGGCCATAAAGCAGCAGAAGTAATCGCTAAAGCCAAGTAATAACTAATAAGCAACGACAAGCTGTCTTTTAAAGCAAGAGGTTTCAGGCGTTAATTTACTCTTACGGTAAAATTACTGTAAAAAATAAACAGGAAGAATTAACATAATTCGTTCTACTTAAACTGGTGGACATTTAAAAAAATGTTCACTTTTACTGAAACATTCTTATTAAAATTCAGTTAAACGTATATATAAAAAAGCTATGAAAAAACAGCATTCGAAATCCTTACGTTCTTCTGTAAAAACTATCATTTGTGGCTCACATAAAATTAAGTTTATACATACGTCCTATGCGTTGCTTAGCAACGAAAGGTAAGACATCCTATAACAGTTTTCACATCATGTCTAGTGTTGGTATACATATTTCAAGGTTTTACTACACAGTTAAGTCTGGAAAACTTTGACACGGACTACGTTACAGACGCAAATTTGAAAATGAGTTTTGTTTTTTTTTCATCCGTGACAAAGCTCATTTAATTTGAAAATTTGACATGACACGTTATAGTTCAAAATCCACATAACGCCGTGATACAATGTAGTTTTTTTCGTGGTGTCAGTAGTCCTGCGCAACAGCTTCTGTCCAACACGCGATCGAGCCAAATGCTGGTCTCTTGGATGGTTCCTCATGCCAACACTGCAGCATAAGATTATACCTGCAGCCAAAAGAAACATGATCACAGCAAATCACAAATCAGAAGATTCGAATTCACGATATGGCTAAAATTACTTTATTTTTGCCATATAAAAATTTATTTTAAAAAATATCATTGTATAAGGCAAGGAAGCCCAGGGAAGCTAATAGTACTACCTTAAATTTCAAAGATATCTGAGACTTAACAAAAGAATGAAAATGCTGTCATAGGCACACAAAATGGTCATAATTCAGGATGAAAAAAAAAGTTAAGCAAAGCTAATCGCGGAAATGCACAAAAGTAAAGGAAGACAAAAAAAGGGGACGGGAAGCGAAAAAAGCCACACAAAAGTACACTAGGAGAAGTACCATATACTTATACCAAGAAAGGTGATTTAAGTTTAGAGGTGAACGCAGCACAGTACTAGAGGCAGTTTGAGTTTCATTGCCGAGAGAATTATCGAATGTATATTATTATCTCTTTGTCAAAAAATGAATTCAGTATGCATACAATTCCGAGCTCATGGCTGGAGTCCTTGGTAGTCTGCGACCACTTGCCACGAAGGTATAAACTTCTTCCCCGGTCATTCCGTCGTAAGGTTTTCCACCTGTCAAGGGTAATAAAGTAATTATATACTACCATCACCATTAACTAATAAGTGAACCGATTTGACGTCAAGTTTATTTCAGACACATTCTATTTTATGTCTCCTAAACTTGTAAGGGAAACAGTTAGGACGAAAAGAGATTTGACATTTTGCTTTTCAAATGTTTGCATATGCATGTTGGTTAGTTAGGGAACAACGCGTAAAACCCAACCTCATTCCCATGTCCTTTTCTCTTACAGGCCATGGCCATGACGAGGTTGCGAAAAACAATGTGTTGTTTCTTTTTCTCGTCTTATTTCGACGATGGCGCTTTTTCCTAACTATAACCCCGGGACAGTCTATTACTTATCAAAAAATTGCGTTCCTGTTTTCGGACCTGACACGGATCTGCTCTTTTTACCGCAAAAGCTGTTACCTGGACAGAGGGTCCTCTTGTAAATGTAAATCTTATTTATAGTGGTCAGGCACTTAGCTATACAAGCACTAAGCTTAGCTAGTTTACAGGGATGCCACCTAAACATAGGAAACAAATATTTTAAATAAACGTAACATAGTTAAAAATCTCAACTGGCAGGAGGCAGACCAGTTGGCTATTTACAAAGCGTGACCGAGAATTTGAACTCGGTACTACCGAGAAACAAATCCCGCTAGTGGCAGGATGAAGGCCTTAAACCCGGGACCTCCGGATTACAACAACAGCGCCCTAAACCACTCGGCTACGCTGCCTCTTAAGTTTAACACGTATAAGCTTACATTTCTATAGCGCCATTGAACCTCCACAAGTGAGGAGTGAGGTCTGGACACACTACCGAGGTCAAGATTCTCCCATACAGACCGACTTAGCACGGTTAATAAGATGTTTATTATATGGCAAAGAAGAAAACTTCAATTCGTTTAATGTAACTGGTTTGCTGACATTTTGCTTGCGAACGGCGATGAGCTCAACTTAAACCTGCCGAAATTTGCTCGTCTTTACTACTTTTTTTGTCATCAGGCTTTTTGACACTTTCATAAACGATTGAGAAGAAAAGAAAAGAAAATGGTGAACATTTTTGTATTTTAGTTTGCTTCTTTATCAACGCAAAATGAAACCGGTCTAGATGCCGGTCTAGGTGAGAGAATATAGACCGCGGTCAATATCGATTTCAGCCAATCAAATTCGTGAATTCGGTAGTTCCCAGTCCTTGTG